TTTGTATGTACGACCGAAGAGTACTTGTGACCTCCCTATCTATACTGTTATTCTGCTTGTTTGTATGTACGACCGAAGAGTACTTGTGACCTCCCTATCTATACTGTTATTCTGCTTGTTTGTATGTACGACCGAAGAGCACTTGTGACCTCCCTATCTATACTGTTAGTCTGCTTGTTTGTATGTACGACCGAAGAGCACTTGTTACCTCCCTATTTCATTAATAATGTTTCAGTCTTCCATTCTTTCACTCTTGCTAGTATCAACACTTTGTCTGACACTCTAGTTCAATACAGTTATTCAATATAATAACTACGGTGTTAGGTATACTAAAAATAGAATAATGTGGTGCTACTGATGATTTTATTTATTTAATAATATTTATAGAATTCCCATAAGTTTTAATTAACAAACTGAATCTTTATTTTACGCCATATGTTTTAACAGTTATTGCTAGTATCAAACCAGCCATCTCGTAGTTCGTCTTTTAATAAACCTCTCTAAATGACTCATTAGATAAAAAGTGATTATTTAAAGGCTTCATAGTTCTCGACATTTTGCCGCAAACACGTGCTCCGCACCTTGGGGCCGCTTAAATCTCATTATTAGGTCAGATAAAAGTAGCCCAAGAATTGCCGGTGGGCGTTGTTGACTAGCTAACTAACTTTGACTTTCATCTCGTCTGTCAGCTGAAAATTGTGGACGGCTATGCAAAGATAGCCCTTGTTTAGCTTTAAGCAAATTTCTAAATTAAATAAACACCAAGCGGGAAGAGAAGTTAGTTAATTTAGGTTCTAACTTACTAAATGAGGCAACACATCGTTAGAAAAGCTATCTTGTATGATTAATGTAGGATATTAATTTTGGTTATTTGGCCATTTCAACTCACATTTAACTTTTTTTTTTAATGCTAAGTTGAATTTAGGTGAAAGGTCATAAATGTTCGCATGATCGTGTGTCTGTAATATATATATATATATTTCATTATCTATTCACACAAATATATTTATCTGTTTAGTCAATTTAGATTTAATCAGATGACAAGATTAGGTACAAACTAAATATCAATTGATAAGATATTAAAGGTTGAAGGTCAGGGATTATCTGTCATTTCATATGTGTATACTGACCAAGGTCTGACACAGGTAATGCATTATTTGTCTTTATGCCACTCTGTGAAAAAATGGATTGGTCAGCAAAGTTATTGCGAAAGTAGGACAGTTTTCCAAAAACAGAAAAGAAAAAAAAGTGGGTCTATGTATCCAAAGAAAAACATATCCTAAAGAAACCGTGTGATTCTCCATGGTAGACAGATAGCCCACTATGTAGCTATGAGCTATAAAACAAAACAAGCATGTATTCTCCCCACTTCCTCCGAATAAAACATGATAAAGAAATCGTAAATGGTAATTAAGGGAGAGGTTTTAGT